GAACAATGTAACAAATCTGTTGCTTCCTGAATCAGTTAACTAGTTACTAGGTTACAGAAACAACAAAGAAACCAACAACAACAACAACAAAATCTATAACTTAAAAAGAAGTCTAGATAGAGACAGACCAGAGCTGAGCAGCTATTTACCCACACCATAAAAAAAAAAACTAGACTCTATGTTTTCAGCTGGAAAATTCACAGTCATGGTTACAATGGGGCTGCTATACTGCTAACAACAAAGCCTGCAACCCAAGTGGAAACAAAGGGAAGGTGTGGAGGGAAGCCTCTTAGCTGAGTCTGGCTATGTTAAAGGTCTTGCCAGGGCTGGGGATGTAGCACAGTGATAGAGCACATGACTAGCGTAAGGGAGGCCCTGGGGTCCATCCCCAGCACCAGAACAAAAGAAAAAGAAATTCTTTCCAGAAGAGTCTCCCCATGTTCTTTATTATTGGACAGAACCATGAAATGTTATCATCCTCACAGCTCGGTGACTGTGTATTTTAACCATTAAGCATTGTCACCCAGAATAAAATTTGGGCTAGATGGGTAGAAATGTGGAGAAACAACCCCAACCACCCTGTCCTAAGGAGGCATGGTGGTAACAAAATACCAAGAGCCAGGTGGAATGAGGAAGGAGGGGTTAAACTGAACACAGATGTTCTTGAAGGACTAAGGATGGACTGCAGGAGGTCCCAAAAGGTGATAAGTGATCAAGGAGACACCTCTCCTTCCCAGGAAACCTCTGTCTGTACCCAAGAGACATCTCTGCCCCCAGGCAATGCAAAAAAGGCTATAAAACCCAATCCCCAACCTGACCTACGGGAGGTTTCCAGGTCCCCCTACATTCTCCAATATGCAGGCTTTCTCTTCTCTTCTCTACAAATAAAATCTTTCCAACCTCTGCTGTTGGAGTCTGCCTGTGCTTTCATCCTCAGAGCGGGCTCAAGAACCTTGAGCACCTGAAATTCTACGCATGTCATCCATGCATCATTCTCATAGGGGAAATTAAATTGGCAACATTCCAAAGCCTGTCCCCCAACCCAAATCCAGGGAGCACTAGTTCTATCTATGCTTCTCTTCCAAGCTCCCACCATTCACTTTCCTTCTAATGATGTCCTAATAAATCTTTGCTTTCTCCTACTCTCCCATCTTGGTAAATTCTTTCACAACCTGCCACTAGGACATCCATGACAAGAGTGTCACAGTTCCTAGCCAAAGTACACAAAGATGCTACTCACCAAGTGTGCTCTGGTATGAACTTTCATCTTCCTCAAAGCCCAAGCTGCATGCTGTCCACATCAGAAGGGGCAGCCTTTGTCTCTTGATGCAGTAACTAAATCACTCATTCATCATCTAATTAATATTTACTGTACCTTGTCTATGCTGGTCATGGGAAGCAATGAAGAACAAGATAGACAGAGCCTCTGATGGCAAGAGCATCCAGCCTCATTCTAGACAAAAGTACAAAGTAAAATAGGCCAATGGGTCTTATTGCAGGACAACAAGATTTAGCTTTTAAGCATGAGTACCCTTCTCTCATGGTCAGCAATGAATGGCTCATTCTCACACACAGTGAGATAGTCTATTATAAATCAACCCAGACGACTAATATGGAAGACAAAATTGAACACATAAAGGGTCAGTATTAAAAAAGAGTGCTGTCAGCTACTTAGCAGGCTATCTAGTTCATCAGTCCTTGCTGGTTTGACTGGACAGAATTAATCCAAGCAGCAAGTCTGACCATGAATCTGAGCATTGACATTCCCCAGATGGGTGACTCATGGTAAGTACCTAGTAAATACATTGGCTGACCTGAATTCCAAAGTTGGACCTCACTCTACTAGAATAAGAATCACATAGAAATTCCTTAAGGTCAAGTTGGTAATCCCTGACCTAACATTTTATAGATACATTTATTCTGTGTGCTGTATGTTAAGTTTTCTAACCAATATGCCAAGGTACATTGATACCATTGTTGTGAACTGTTACTGTAAGAGGTACTTAAACTGCTTTTGCTGAAAAGCACTGACTCCTTACTTTGCCCCCCAAATTAACTAAAAACAGGAGAAAAGCTTAGCATCTCTGTCTCCATTTTATACCTGTTGTCCTCTGTTCTGAGCCATTCTCCCCCACAGCCACCTTGGGGAAAGACAGGAATGATTGATAACATCTTTATGACAAGGGACTGAAACTACCCCTAAGGAAAAACAGATCCTTGCAGGACAGACCACCCCTCCAAATGAGGACAATTAAGTACAGTGACAGGGCTGCACCTTGGGCTGAGATAATGGTCAACCAGGCTCCACATGACCACTGGAACACACCTGTGACTGGGACTGTTTAACTGTGCATACCTTTAGTCCTCTGCCCCTAATTCCTTGTCTATTTAAAGCTAAAGCTCACATCTGTACCCTGAAGATGGCTGAAAATGGGCTCAGTGCTTACTTTGCTTTTTCCCACAGCATGTCCCAGGCTGTGTAATAAATCTCCTTTCTCTGCCCTTCACCATGTCTCTTTATTTGGCACATAGGGATGAGTGGCCAGACCTGACATGTGGAATCCCAGGAGTGTGGCCTTCGTTCCAAACCTCAGATTTCAACACTAGATGCGCTGAGATATTGGACCTTCTAGCCACTGTGCAGCACATCTCAGCTCAGTGGCCACATGAACACCACAGGCTGTGCATGGCATGAAATGAGAAAGGTTAGCAGCTCTGCTTTATGACCTGTCACTTTAGGGTCTCAATTTAATACTCACGCAAACATGAAAGAACATACTTTCCTGGAGATGAGTGCTCCTTCAGCCACCTCTGTTTAGCCTCCTATAGGATGACGATAAAAGCGGGCCATTTATTTATTTATTGGTATTACACTGCATCACAATTTACAATTCCTTTGTGGAAGGAGACAGAGACTAGATAAAAGCACCTAGTTTTTACATTTTCCTAGCCCTGGAGACACTGCCAACAGAACTCCTGGAACAAAAAGGCACCAAGATGTACACTTGACTCCCATAGAGCCCCCTCCCATGAACTGCATGCTATTCAACTCTTGTCAGACAGGTGAGAGGAATGTATTTGAGGAAGGCCAGGAAGTGTGGTGCATACTAGCATCTGGGTTCTCAAACTTCTATCTTGTTCTACATTTGATTAGGGAGTTAAGCCTTTGGCTGCAACCTTTGCCCCCAAGAAACATCACCACTGAGTCAAAAATTTAAGACCTTCCCCTTAACTCTCACAGAACAGTTGGTTTTCCTTTTCTTTTTATTTATTTACTATTTAAAGGCATACAAAAAGCTGCTTTGAGTCTTCTGTTGAAGACTTAATTGCTTGTAAGGTACCTGACGGGTGACTGTTTTATGTTTTGTAGTTCTAGCACCTGACATAGGTGCTGAGAGCATGAAGACATGAACATATCTGTGTAATCTGAGAAACAAAGAACAAAAATACAACAATGTGCAGCAACATAAAAAGTTTTTTAAATGAGGAAACCCAATCCTGTGAAGCTAAAGCTTGACTTCTGAAGTACTGTTGGCAGAACTTCAGGTGGATAGTTTGCCAAATATGAACTTTAAAAGAGACTTGAAATATGGAGTCTGAACAGGCTTTGTTACCTGGTTTTTCAAAACGAAGTGGAGTAGTTCAAAAACACCTAAAAATTGTTTTAGTGATGAAATGTCCTCAAGGTTACTGAAGCCAGTATAGGTAAATTCATTTAGAGGAGGGGATTCAAACTCTTGTCTCTAAAAGCCACACCAAGGTTGAAACCCTTCCAGGGCCATCTGTGAGTTGAAAGAACAGGTTTGGCTGGTGACTCTGCCAACTTCCCAGCCTCTGGCTGCCCTGCTAGCTATCCAGGAGAGAACCCCTGTCAGTTCCTGAAAGGAAACCAGCTGCCACTTCAGCAGGGCAAAGGGACACGGGGAAGCTCTGTGGACTTGGCACCAGAGGGCAGTTTCTAGACGCTGAGGAACACACTTGGAAAAAATCGTTTATGGGGGACGGCCAAGATTAAAATGATTAAAATCATTACACGAAGTCTTTCATGATTAGGACCACTTAAAAAACACAGGACCCAGAACAATTCTAGAGAAACTAACACCGTAAAGGACCCTAGCACCTAGAGTCTACTGGAAAATCTACCTACTCCACGTGGCATAGAAACACCCTCAGCATAGTTTATTGCTAAGCACAGTACGGCCTGTTACAATAGCAGCTTTTTATAGACAGAGGGATGTACTAAAAGTGAAGCCATGGCCCTGGAAAGGTAACACCGTTGCAACCTCTGCAGACACAGCGGCCTGCAACGGAGATACACGGTGGCCGTCCGATCCTACGCCACCAGTACTGGTTACGGCGCTCAGAAAGCAGCGCGGTCGCCAAGAGCGGAATATTTCGGGCTCATTCCAATTCTTTTCCCTCCATGAATTTTTTTCTCAGTAGAGTCCCAAGAACCCCATACCGGACAGAAACTTGGAATGAGGAAGGGAAGACACCTGGGGCTCTCCTTTGCCCCTGGGCACCCGCTCAATTGTCCCACGTGCAGAGCCGCGCGCCGCGTTGCTCGGGGCCAGGCGGGAGCTGGCCCCGCGCGGGGACGCGCACCCGGGCAGCAGGTGCCCGCGCCCCGCGCAGGACGGACAGCCCGGAGCCCCAGGGCCCGCACGGGGACGCGCGCCTCAGGCCGTAGGTGCCCGCGCCTCGCGCCCCCGCAACCCGGAAGTGGCGGCTGGCGTGCGGAGCGGAGCGGGGCGGCACGAGCGCGAAGGGCGGCGCGCAGGAGCCGGCATGGCTGCCGCCGCGGGCTTTGTGTGCCGCGCGCGGGCCCCGGCCGCTCGCGCCGCGCCCGGGCCGCGGGGCAGCCGCTGACCCTCCCGCTGGCCCCGCCTCGCCCCGCCCCGCCGCCGGCCTCGGCGCTCGCGCTGCGCCCGCCCGCCCCCTCCCCTCCCCACCCGGCCAGCCAGCCAGCCGGGCCGCCGGCGGCGGGCCCAGCCGCCCCGATGCCCGAGCCAGGCCCCAGGATGAACGGCTTCTCGCTGGGCGAGCTGTGCTGGCTCTTCTGCTGCCCGCCCTGCCCAAGCCGCATCGCCGCCAAGCTGGCCTTTCTGCCTCCCGAGCCCACCTACACCGTGCTGGCGCCCGAGCAGCGCGGTCCCGCGCCCCCCCGGCCCCGGCCCCGGCCCCGGCCCCGGCCCCGGCCCCGGCCCCAGCCGCGGCCCAGCCCGCGCCGCAGCCGCCGGAGGAGGGCGCGGGGCCCGGCGCGTGCAGCCTGCACCTGAGCGAGCGCGCGGACTGGCAGTACTCGCAGCGCGAGCTGGACGCCGTCGAGGTCTTCTTCTCGCGCACCGCCCGGGACAACCGGCTTGGCTGCATGTTCGTGCGCTGCGCGCCCTCCAGCCGCTACACGCTGCTCTTCTCGCACGGCAACGCCGTGGACCTGGGCCAGATGTGCAGCTTCTACATCGGCCTCGGCTCGCGCATCAACTGCAACATCTTCTCCTACGATTACTCGGGCTACGGCGTCAGCTCGGGCAAGCCCTCGGAGAAGAACCTCTACGCCGACATCGACGCCGCGTGGCAGGCGCTGCGCACCCGGTGAGCCCGGCGGGCCGCTGTAGGCAGGCGGGTTGGGGGGTCTCCAGGGTGGCCTGCGGGGACAGGGCCCCGGTCCCCCCACCACACCCCGGCCAAGGTCGAGCGCAGAGCCCCTGGCCCGCCCCCACCCTCTGCAAAAACCCCGCAGAGTGCGGGAGAGCTCAGACCCGGGAGCTGCCGGGTCCGACTGGATCTTTTGTGGCTCTGGTCACCGCACGTGGCACCGTGGAGTGTTTAAGTACCGGACAGAAACAAACAACTCAGTTCGGATTTAGTTTGTAGGAGCTGGTCCCTAGAGGCGGACCAGCTATCTAGTGACCTTGGGCCGGACACAGGTATCTAGTCCGGTTTCCTTTCCTGTGAAAGCACGGGCTAACAGGATGACCTCTGAAAGACTTTCGGGTTGTAAAGTGCACCGGACAATGTCTGGGCCGCCTTGAAAGCAGCTGGAGGTTCAGATGTTATGGGGAGTTTGCTTCTTGGGGGTGGAGGTGGCAGAGGCGCTGGCACTGTGTGGGCCAGAAGGGAGCCTGGTACCTGCACAGAGCCCCAGTAACAGACCAGGATGAGTTCGAGTGTTACAGGTTGGGGAATCTCTTGACCTTGAATTAGCATTTATAGGACTAGGAAGTATTTATCCAGGCCCTTTTACCTGCCAGGCACAGATGGGAGGCATGGTTGAGGGGCTAGCCCAGGTAAAACAAGCAAACAGAAAACTGGAGTTTTGTCGTGAACTTAGACAAAAGTCTGGTAAGTGGGCTGACTAGTTAGGTCACCTTTTTGTGCTCCAGTTTTGATATCTGTGTACCTTCTCACCTACCTGAGAGCAGTGATGGTGAAAATGCTTGTGGTCACATCTGTAATGAGATTGGATTTCTATAGAGGAAAGTCCCCAGAATAAGCACGACTGTTGTGTGGACCTTTGTGTAGTTTTTATCTAATTTCTGTTTGCTCAGCTCTTGCATAGGACCGATGTTAATGGCTTTGATTCTATTTGTGTTTATATACATGTTCATAAATTACCCCTTTGCCCGTCTGGGAAAATGGCTTGTCCAACAGGGAAGTACTTGTTCATGTTTCCCAAAGTCCTGAAGGGCATGTCCTCATTTGGAAGATGGTTTAGGCAGATGAGGATGTATCATATGCTAATGTGTTGGGTCCGAATCCACAAGTAGTTAAAAGACACCTGTTCCAGGAAAGGATTTCAAAAGTATGTGTCACATACACAATCTGGAATTTACCATAGTGGTAAATTACCATAAAAGTATTGAAAATAAGGTTGGCATTATTTTTAAAAGTGAAGCATTAAGTAAATATTATATAAGATTTTCTGTGAAACATTGTTCCTATGTGGGCCTGTCTATTATAATGAAAGCCTTTCACAAGGCTAACCCTTTATCCTGGATATGGGTGTGTCTGTGTTAACACGTATGTGCAGCATACTTATTTCCTGCAGACTTGTATCATAGTTAGGTGAATTAAAAGGCACTGTTTTTGATAATATTACATTTTTAATTCTCTGAAGATAATTCTAAACATTGCTCATGACTTATACTAGAACTGTCTAAAATTGGGTAGAATTTAGTGGCTAAATAAGAGTCTTAGGATTTGAAGAACCTTACAAATAGTCTTGACCTGGGCTTTTCACACTTTTTAGACATACCCTACAGTTAAAATGTTTTACATCTTGATGGAGCACTCAAACTCATACTCACTTGTGGCTGAATATCTGAAGCAAATGTTTCACAAAACATTTTTTTTTCAGTGGCCAATTCATACAGCAGAATGTGTTGTTTTATTTCTCTTAAAAAAGAAGGAGGAAAAAAGATGTGAGTTGTTAAATGTGTTTCCCAGCTCCTGCTGGATACTGCTGTCCCCCACCTCATTTGATGGAAGGACAGCATCATGGCCAACCAGCATCTGGTCTCTCTGACTTATAGTGTAGAACTTTTCTCCTGCACCACATGGTGACATGTGTCATAGTTCTCAGAAGCACATTTAGGTGTCTGGGCTATTCGACCAACTTAGGTGTTCCCTGATTCTGAAGCCCCTTACCCACCTTGTCAGCCTTTGCTCTCTTGTTCTGTAGCTGTACCTGGAACTGTTCTCCATCTGTTATAGCTCTGCTCAGGTCATTGCCATGGGAGAGGAGCATCTTCCACCCCATGTACCTGTTCTGTTGTTGAGTCAGAACACACCCTCCCCATTTCAATATCTTCTGGGAAGGTCTTTCCCTTCTTTGATATGTGTGTGTGTCTGTGTGTGTAGGGAAATCTTTCTCTTTTCTGACCTCCTGGGTGGGTCTTTCTCTTCTCTGACCTCTTGGTTAGCCACATTGCCCAGAAGGCTGGTTGGAGAGCTTGCCTTGTCCTGTTTCATCTCTGTCCCTGTCCTTAGCCTGTTCCCCCAGGAGGACAGCAAATTGTCCATGTCAGTGCTGTGCAGTACCTTGCCATCCTTCCTCTACTTACATCTGGCCTTTTGAATATGTCCTTCTATGCTGAGAACATCGATCCTGACTGCATCCTAGTGGTATTGGGGGACCCTTTGTTTTCTTAGTTGTGGTTTGGATCTGAAATATCCCTCAAATGCTCCTGTGCTGTCCCTTGGTCCCCAGTGCAGTATTCTACTTGGAGGCCCAAGTCATTGGATTCTGAAGACTCTGACCTCATCAATGGATCAATCTACTGATGGAGTCATAATTGAATGGACTGTTGGGCGGTGGTGGAAACTGGAAGGTGAGGCCCAATTGGCGGAATTGAGTCTCAGGGGGCATGCCTTTGAAGGCTATATCTTGTCAGTCTCTTCCTCTCTCTGCTTCCTGGCTGACATGAGGTGAGCCGCTTTCCTCTGCCATGCCTGTCTGCCATGACATTTCTGCCTCATCACAGGCCTAACAGCAGTAGAGCCAGCTGACCTTGGGCTGAACCCTCTGAAACTGTGAGCCAAAATAAATCATTCCTCCCATAAGTTGTTTTTTCAGGTACTTGCCACAGCAATGAAAAATGACTAATACACCTGTGTACCTGGCTTGCACTTATTGTGGTATTGCTGTACCTGTTATTTAACTGTACCCCACTAACCTGAACATTCCTTGAGACAGTGCCTCTGCCTTCTCTATTCCCAGCTATTGGGAAAATGCCTTCAAATAATAGACTCTCAGTAAATATTTGCTCAGTGACTTGCACTCAATGGGTGCCCCATCAATAAATGGGATTTATTCAATTTTTCCTAAGTTGCAAAGAGTTATATCTTATTTTGCCTCCAGAGTTTAATATTTGTTGATACAACCATAGCCAAAAAGGGGTTTGTATGTATTGGATTAAGGTCTGATTTACTTTGTCTATATTATATTGGTGTTGGTGTGATATTGGAGTGTCTATATTGAACAAAAGACTAGTAATAACCCTTAATTCATATTTCTCCTCTGCTTTTACTCACTTGTGTGACTGTACTGGCTCATGTGCCTGCTGTAGTGAGCTCAGCCCTTAACAGAGGGCTTGGAACTAATATTCCCAGTGTGCTGACCTCACCTGCAGGGATAAAGGCAAAGGAATAGTGTGCAAGTAACCTGAATAAGGATTTCAGGAGCCAAGAAAGGTGATTTACTATTTGACCAATAGTTGACTATTTGAAAGATTTGAAAAACTACTGAAAAGAATTTAGAAGAGAGGTTGGCTTTGAAGGAGCCAGGAAGGGTGCAGACCAAGCATGGATGAAGAAAGTCAGTGTAGAATAATAAGGAGGAACAACTGAACATAAGCGTGACCAAGAGCACACGTTGACATGTTTTGTATTTGTCTACTGATGGGCTTTGTGAGTACGCTGTGACTTATAGGCAATCGAAGGCATAGATTGGAACCAGTTGTTGGTGTCTGTGGAAAGGATGCTGTATAAATCAAGGATGCCTGATTGGAGTCCTGTGTCGTGCCCTGAGTTGGGAAAGTAAAGAGGTTAATCTGTATGGGCTAAGGTGAGAGTAAGTGGGTTCAGCCTCCAGGCCATTCATCCTTCCAGGAGACAGAGCCTCTTGGACCTGAGCAGTTGTAGACTGTATAAATGGGGCTGTGACTCTGATGGGTGTGAGTCGAGCTGATTTGAAAGTACAAACCCAAACGAGCAGGTAATCCCAACAATGAGGAGTAAAGTACAAAGAGAGTATTTTATCTGAAGCGTTTTAATCTGAGAAACAGAAGAGCTGGCATTTGTGAATCGATTTGTTAGTGATTATTTACCAATGTCATCTGCAGAAGTTATCTTCTGTCCTGTTTGATGTGGTGACAAAGACGGGGAGAGAAGCATTTGGAAACATAGGCAGAGAAAGCAAATGCAGAGCGAGTATTAATAATGGGCTTGTGCTAGGTACACACAATAAATCACAAGTGACTTCATATTTCGTTCACTACCCACTTGTTTGCACACTTATTCATGTTCTGCATGTTTCAGACACTGAAGCTGTTTATTTCCAAGCTGTTTCTTTTAATGCTGGCACTGGGATTTGAACTCAGGATCTTGGGCTTCCTTGACCGATGCTCTACCACATAAGCCACACCTCCAGCCCTTCTTGCTTAGTTAGTTGGGAGATTTTGCCTAGGCAGGCCTGCACCACAGTCTTCCTGTTTTAGGCTTCCCATCATCTCTGGAATTTCAGGCTCATTCCACCATGCCCAGCGCTTTTCCATTGAAATGGGGTCTTGCAAACATTTTTGCCTGGGCTGGCCCAGAACCAAAATCCCCCAATCTCAGCTTCACGAATAGCTAGATTACAGGTGTGAGCCACTGGCATCTCACTTCCTTTTCTTTTCGTGTGTGTGCGCGCACACACGCACACACAGAATAGATTTTGAACGCATTTTGAGTACATACCTTTGTTTTGCTTCTTTACGACTTTCATGTCTGTGACCCATAGGCTGTGTCACTGTTAAACGACAGCCGTAGTGGCACAGCCTCTGTGGTAGGTCCTCTAAAGGCACCTGCTGTAGTGTTTATAGAGTTGCCACTTTC